CCCCCCCCACTCCAGCAACCCTCAGTTTGTTTCCTGAGATTAAGAATTCCTCATATCAGTGAGATCATATGATACATGTCTTTCTCTGATTGTTATATTACCTTTCTGTACTCCCCTGCCAGTGTGCCTGCACCTTCCAAATAAATCCCCTGCACTCAATCCTTCCATCAGGCTCTGTTTTGAGGGAGAACTCAACTAAGTGCCTTGGGTAGTGCCTATGACACTGGAGACCCTCAATAATTATGCCCAAGAATAAACCAAGTAATAATTTGCTGTCCCTATGAGAGACTCTTCATTCCCCCTTGCAAGATAGTACATACTCTCCAGGTTTTGTTCTGGAGGTTGGAGCTACTTTTAACATATAACACCGTCTCCTGCTGTCTTTGCTTTACGTGTACAACAGCCATGAGCAGTGAACCTTCTAGGACACACGTGGCTATTGGTCATTTCTTGAAATATGGCTTGTCCTAATTGAGGTGTGCTGTCACTTAGCATGGAAAACAAAAAAGCATGTAAGATATGTCTTTATGTCTTTAATAATTTTTGTATTTTGAAATGATGATATTTGGGGTATGTTGATTTCAGCAAAACATATTATCAAAATTGGCTCTGTGTCTTTTACTTTTTAATGTGACTACTGGAAAATTTTCATTGCATATATTTGGTCCAGAGCAATTTGATAATTACACGTAGTTCTGTAATTATTAAGTGACGTATACTTTAAATTTCTAGCAGGCGGTGCTGTTGCAGAAAAATCATCCAAATGGCCAGGAATGCCGGGTTTTCAGGGTCACTGGGGGCAGCATGTGATCTCCTTTCCTGTTTTGTTCTAGGTTACATGTCGCCACACCCGTCTCCGCTGGGAGCCCCCGAGCACGTCTCCAGCCCTCTGTCAGGGGGTGGCCCGACCCCACCCCAGATGCCGCCGAGCCAGCCGGGGCCCCTCATCTCGGGCGACCCACAGGCGATGAGCCAGCCCAGCAGAGGTCCCTCGCCTTTCAGCCCCGTCCAGCTGCATCAGCTGCGAGCGCAGATTTTAGCTTACAAAATGCTGGCCCGGGGCCAGCCCCTCCCCGAAACACTGCAGCTTGCAGTCCAGGGGAAAAGGACGTTGCCCGGCATGCAGCAGGCCCCACAGCCCCAGCCACAGGCACAGCAGCCGCAGCAGCAGGCCCTTGTTAACTACAACAGACCATCTGGTAGGTTAATGTGCAACCAAATGAATAACGCCGTGGTCCAGTCTGGCTAAGGAGGACTGCTAAGGGCGCCGGAGTGTGGGGCTGCTCTAAGCCCGGGGCCGACTTAGCCTTTTGTTGTTCCTCGTTGGCTCCCTTGTCTTGCTTCACTTGGCTGCCCGGGACCCTTAGGCTCCTGGGCCGCAGGGTCCCAGGAAGGAAGCAGTACACGCCCCCGCCGTCCCCGGGCCTCTGCATTCTCTTTCAAGAGGCTCAAGGTTTGTCGGGAGCCTGGCCACACGCCCCAGGTTAAGAACCCTGCCGCCAGCGCCTTCCCGCGGCCCGAAGGTGCCCCTAGACTCCGCTCTCCTCGAGCCATGTTATGTGAGCTGACTTATTTATTTCTACCCCTTTGTGTGGTTAGAAAAGCATTTAGGGAGACCTCCAAGAAGCATACCTGCAGTAAAATAATTATCAAGTGTAGGAAATCAGAAACAAAGGGAAATAGCAGTTGGGGTCAGGGAGGTCAGGAGCATGGAGCCCCCCCCATACCCCCTCCTCCCCAGAGCTCACGGTTGCTGCCTCTGAGCTTGACAGAGGACTCCAGCTTCCTGGCAGTCAGGAAAGGAGAGAGGGTCTGGTACCAGATCCTCACCATTTGGCAGCAAGTGACAGAGGAACACAGAGCCTTTTCTAAGCATGAGACTATAAAGTAGAATTTCCAAGTGGGATTGTTTTTTTTAATCATTGGTATTATTATTGTACGAGACACTGAACGATAGAGGCATCAATAAGATTTGTTCATAATAAACAGAGTAACAGAATCCACGCGGCCTATTTCTTCTATAGACCCTGGCATCAGATCCGAAGCTGTGATATTATGTAATGGGCGGAGATGAGCTAGTCCTTTGTATGGCCTTCTGGCGGTCTGGCTTGATCCCACCACTAGAATTCAGAGGTGTGGGGGGCTATGCGATGAGCTTCCACGAATGTTGTTTTCTCTGGCAAGGTTTTTGTTAACCACCAGAGAAGCAAAGAGTTGATGGTTCTGTTCTAACTAGAGTTTTGAATTCCGGGGTCTTCCTTGACATTGACACCATTTCCTGTGAATGCTTCCCTTGCGCTGGGGCAAGCCAGGACGTACCGATCACCGCGAATGATTCGTTTGGGACATTGGTACTTTGTCTAAGTTTGGGGACTTAGGCAGTGGGGAGGAGTTCAGATTATTATTATTATTTTTCAATTATCATTTCTGCCTTCTGAGTTTGTAAATGTTTCTTTTCCGGTGGGGGAAGCTCCAAGAGTTGCCCTACCCGAAGGGTTAACTCACCTTGTTAATTGTGGATGTAGCCTTAGGAATGGGTTTTTTAAAGAGCAAGAAAGGATCATGTCCGCTCCAGATCTTTGTGTAGTGACTGTGGCGCGTTGGTAGGTGGAAGATCATGTGGGACTGAACATCAAGGACCAAGAAGGTTATAGAGGAGAACCATGCTGAAAATGGTAGTTTGGACACTTGATGTGTTTAGAGGGTTCAAAACAGCATAACTCCAGCTCTTGGGAAGGCAGCTAGATGAAAGAAAAAATATATGGATGTCTCGGCGTAGCCGGTACTTATGAAGGACCTACTGGCCTGTGTCATGCTCAGCTTGAGTACTCTGCATGTGGGACTCATCTAGAATATGGAGAGTCGGGACTCCCATGCTAGCAGTCTGACCCGAGGGCCCATGTCCTTACCAGCTGCCCCGTCCTGGCTCCTTCATAACAAAGGGGCTCATGGCAAGGGAAAGAACCTGTCATAAACTGTGTACCAAAGGCAGCAACCGTTTTACTCCTGTGTGTGCCAAAAGGAGAAGTATCTCCGCTCCTCACCTAGAGCCTTTTTACTTGTTCTCTAGACACAATGCCAGTGAAATTAGTACTCTTGACATCCCACATCGTAGTAGTTTCCAGTAGAGGCTGAATGGCAACCAGAGAGTTGGTAGTTGGAGGAAGATGGAGCAAAACCTGTACCTCCCAGGAGCTAGTGATATGGGACCGTGTCGTGTAGGCGTCCTTCACTGTACGTGGAAGTGTGTCCCAGGGTGTCTTCACAGACCTCCATGAGCATTGCTCCTTTTTTTCTTTTTTTTTTTTTTAATTTTATTTGAGAGAGCGAGAGAGAGGACAAGCAGGGTAAAGGGCAGAGGGAGAAGCAGACTCCCTGCGGAACAGGGAGCCCGATGCGGGGCTCGATCCCAGGACCCTGGGATCATGACCTGAGCCGAAGGCAGACGCTTAACTAACTGAACCACCCAGGTGCCCCAAACATTAGTGCTTTAAAAATGACCTGTGCTCAGCAGGAAAAGATCCCAAAGTATCCTTTAAGAAGGCAAGAAGCTGAATGATTCATTGATTCATTTCAGAAACCTTTTCACCCAAAGTTCGAATAAGGAGACCAAATAAAGTAGTAAAACTTAGGGGACCAAGTTTCCGTTGTCTGGACTCTTGTACCTAACAGCCACTTCACATCCCAGCAAACATAATCCCTAGTGCGTTTTCTGGGCCATTTCCTGAGGAGGGGGCTCCATGACGTTACCCATCTCTGATGCTTCATCTTTCCTCACCAGGCCTCTGTCGTCAGGAGGAATCTGTTTTGTTACTCAGAGCTCTGTCTCTTGTATTTCAGGCAGTCAGGCTTCATTAGAAATGAAAATATTGGGGCAGATAGTATTTTATGCCAGAGTGGGCAAGGAGGACGTGGATGAAGTTGGAAGAAGCTCCCTCCTGCCAACAGAGCAGACCCATTCCCGCCGCTGGGAAGGAGGTTACACCCCAGAGTGTTGCAGACCTTGTACCCAAACCTCAGTTTTCAGAGGGAGGTGGCATCCTTACTTGACAAAGACTTTTTTTGGGGGGTTGGCGTTTAGGACAAGTCAAAATAAGGCAAAGAATATTTTATTTTTAGAGTTAATATTTTTAATTGTTATTACTTATCTCCATCCCTCCTTAACAAAAAAAAGTATTATTGTGTATAAATACCTCTACTGATTTTTCAGGAAAAAATAAGTTTAAGTATATCTGCTTATCTGGAGATAACTCCTGTTCCTTGTTTCTTTTGTCCGGCTTTATAGTGTTATCCATGTTTGAGAGAATCTCTTTGGCTGGGGTGGTCTGCCTCAAACCTACTCCAGAGATGTGACTCACCCTAAGTGACACACATCATCAGAGGCATCACTAGGGAATTATGGGTTGACTGCAGGAGTTGCACACTGAACAAATAATTCTTCAGTCCTCATCTGCTGTGGGCTTCCTGCAAATCTAACCCATCATCTTCTTTTTCACTTTGATTCACTTTTTTCTTTTATAGAAACTAAAACAAAATAAAAAATAGGAACTGTAAAAGTTTGGGTTTGGGGTTTTTTTGGTTTGTTTTTTGGGTTTTTTGTTGTTGTTATTGTTTGTTTTTGTTTTTTTGTTTTTGTTTCTTTTTTTTGGGTGTGGGGTACGGAGGACCTTATGGTAGGAAGTAAAAGTATCATTGCTAATTTTTTTCAGTACTTGTCTCTCTCCTGCTCCCTGCCCCTGCCACCCCCACTCTTTTTAGGTATCTAAAATACCTAGGTATGTTCAATTTAAATACACTTCATTACATTTATATTTTTTCAACCCGTGGAAACCACTTAAATCCTTATTTAAGGCACAGAATTTTGAGTAAGGATCCTAGTGTGCCAGGAAGACGGTGTGAGTTCTGAATGCACAGAAATTCTGTATATGCGAGACTCGGGTATTTTAATAAGTTCGTTTTCCTGTTTCTTAAAATCAGGCAGAGGGCTGCATCTGAGAAAGACCCCCCCTCCCCACCTTAGCTGCACTAGGTCGCTCTCAGGGATATCAGGACATACCTCTGCCTTGATTTCCAAGGTGAGGACTGCGGGGAAAACAGACACATTTGGAACCTCTGACAAGTAAGCCTAAATTGTTTATGGGGGCGGGGGGGTGGATAGGAGATAAGCTAAGGAATGTAATTTGTCTTAAGTTTGAAGATATCAGGAAGTGGTCTTATCATTTAGCAGACCCCGAGTGTCTGTAGCAGAGATGATTTCTGTGGATAGAGAGCCAATCCAGCCAGGCATCTCAACTATAAGCCGCCTGAGGGACAAGCAAGAAACCTGAGGAACAGGTAGTTACATTCTGGGCATGTCCTGTTGCAGCAAGCTGCACTCGCTTCCCTGGGCTCTGTAAGTAGGAGTTTTTATGTAATCTGTTGGGAGGGAGGAAAAAAATAGCCCCGTGCAGTAAATGAACTCACGGTGTTTAGTTAGGAAAGGAATTTGCTTGTAAGTGGCTCTGATAGCCGCTTGGCAGGAAGTACTTGGCAAGCCGACTTATCTGAGTATTTGTGCTGAGTCGTTGTGAGCCGTAGAAACATTCTGAAGTTTGCTGTAGGAGAGTGTGCTCCCAACTTTGCCAGCTAACCCAGTACCAAGCTTCCTTAAAAGCCTTTTTTTCGCCATGGGGTTTTTCTATAAAGCTAAGTAACTAAATTAGACTTCTTAGCCTCTGTGGACTTGCACGTGTTAAAAACGACAAGAGTGGAGGGTGTGGATCATGTGGTTACATGATCTCATTGAATCCTCACTCCCACTCTAGGGGGTTATATTATTATCCCCATTCTACAGATGAGGAGACTGAGGCGCACGGGGTTAAGTGACTAGCTCAGACTCACGCAACCAGCAGGTGGTGGAGCTCAGGTGACCCTCGTGAGTTCTTTTGGAAAGAGGCAGGATGCTTTGAATGTGCCTATTTTCGTTCACAGCAAGTTGTAGGACCTTTTGAATATGTAAGTTCATGTTTGGGTCTCTCTTTCTCTGCTTCTCCATTTTAAGGGTCAATCAACTTTAAAGAACGTCTTTGTTTTTAACGGATTCAAAAGTCTAGCCCTGTGCCTGTGTATTAGATCTGGTCTTGAGTCATAGGCTACAAATGACTAGAACTGGAACCAGGGATATCAGACATGCTCTGGATACCTTCCTTTGATGAAATGTGGCTTTAAAAATAGTGACTTGAATGTACCTCAAGGAGTCATCAGAGGCTTCTGCATAGGTATTTACAGGAGAGAAGGCTAAAGAAGAAAGCTCCGGAAACAGGTGGAATGTGTAACACCAGTGCCCTGTTCTGGCTTTTGTTGATGAATTATTTAAACTTTGAAAGGAGGAAAAACACTTGCAGGACTGAATGTAGAGTAATTATTATGATATTATCGTATCAGCAAGACCCGAGTTTTCTTTTTGTTAAAGATGGTGGTGTTTTTAGGGGGCTTCAGTGTAGTAAGTTTGTTACTTAGTATGCTTATCCCGACTCTTGAAATATATTTAATTCTACCAGTTTCTTGAGTTTATTAAGGAGATTTGTAGAATCACAGAGAATCAGCCTGTTAGAAATCTCTGTCTTCTCTTTTTTTGGCTGGATCACACCTAAAACAACCCCGATGAAAAATCTACCCTGTTTCAACGACCTCTAGGGAGAACATATTCTAGAACATCCCTCCATAACTCATTCCAATGCTTAACAACCCCGAGATTTAATGTTTAGAAATCGGTTTCTTATATATGAATGAAAGAAACTTCTAAATATAAAATATTATGAAAAGCCATGCATTATGTAAAAGACTTCCCATTCAGAAAAAAAAAATCAGAAAGTACATAGCTGAAAAGAATCTCTTTATTACGATAGTACATCTACGATACCTAAAATAGAAAATTTTTAAAAATGCATTTTTCCTTCAAGAGTTTTTCATCCCCCACGGGACCCAGGGCTACCTCAGGATTATGTAGCTGCATGTGTTTTGGAAAGTTCACCTGATATCTCAAGGAAGGTGAAAAAAGCCCAACAGTAATAACACACACACACACGTACAGTTTCCTAAGCAGTTTGTTCACACACACACACACACACACATACACACACACGTACAGTTTCCTAAGCAGTTTGTTCTAATTCCTCACATTCCTCCTGTCAAAATGTTTGCTTATACTCTTCTTGCATTGTCATTTAAGCCCATTTCTAAATGGTGTTTGCTGGAAATTGAATAAATGTGTCTAATTTTTCATAATGTACGTCTTTGTATGGTTAATTATTAAGGCGCCCTGAAGTATATAGACTATTATTTTATTACCATTTAATAGTTTTAACTTTTCTTAGAAAAGATACAGAAAATGCTCGGGAGAATGCTTCTCAGAGGTTTTAACAGCTTACTGAGTTTTTTTTTTTCCATTTCCTAATTCATCTGGTAGCATCCCTAATCTTACTTATAATTTTGAAGTAAGTAAAAATGTAACTATGAGGAGAGACAGAACACTTCTTACTTTCGGTCCATACCTAGCAATCAGTTTAAACTCCTGAAGTTTAATGTGGAAAATTGCGTTAAATTAACTTATTAAGTACATTTTGATAAGCTTGATGATTGCATATCCCTTTATTCTGTTAGCATGAGAAAAAATGTTCCCTTGAATCTTAATATTTGCTAGTTTTTATAGATGGAATGAGCAGATTTGCTCCTCCGCCTCCACTGAATGTTTTTAGAAACATTTTCTAATATGTAGTAAAACAAAAAAAAACAAAAAAAAATTCAGTTCCTGAGATGCATTGATTAAGCCTGAAATGTGCCTTTTAGGTCATCAAGGGAAAATGTGTGCCCCTTTCAGTTCACATGGGAGGGCTGGCCAACGTGCTGGCGGTGTTTGGAAAGTGAGGGTCAGGCCGCTGAGGGTCTGCCTCAAGTCCCCCCAAGGTGCAATTTGCAAAATGTGATTTTAGGACCACACCCAAATTGCATCCGACTGTTCCATGACTCCCTTACTTTTCTGAATTCTTGAATGCACCTGCAATTCTTATAAAAACAACAACAACAACAACAAACTACTCTAGAGCTACATTAAATGCTGACCATCCGCTCCTTCAGTGGATGTACTCCTTGAGTCATTTTTGGACCATTTCAGCGGTGTCCATCAGTGAATGCCATTGCCCTATGAGGATAGATGCCTGGTTCTTCTTAACTTTTTCCCCCTCCCCGCCCCCCCGCCCTCCCTCCTTCCTCATCTCCTTTCCTCCCCCCTCCTCCCTTGCTGGAGATGTTCAGTGCTCCCGGAGGCGGGGGGCAGCGGGCAGGCCGGGGGTGGCTGCAGGGCGCCGGCCCGCCCGAGCTGCCCATGTCGCTCTTGTCCCGCAGGCCCGGGGCCGGAGC